GATGAAAACTTAGGAGCTTAATCCCACACCAGTTTGACCATGAATAACGTTGGATGACAAGTCTGACTTTTTATTTTTTCACATTGGACTCCACCGGGAAGAAATCCCGTGCATACTGCTGCTTAAATGTTCACTATGTCAGAACTTATTCAGTAAATGTGTTTCCATCTCTGCTTTTGTGCGTTAACTCTTACAGGATGGAGGAAACTGGTCTTGGCGGAGGTTTGCACTCTCCGAGTGCTTCTAGTTTCTGATTGAATTGATGATTTTATGTAGGTAGGTACATGTCTGAACACATATTCAACACATGACTAATTGTTGATCGTCATAAGAGTAGAGTATTATTTTTGTTGGGAGGCGTGACTCTTTTGAGAGTAGAAGACCCCTTCCTGATGACGTAAATAGGCGGGGTCATGCCTCGAAGCGCTCTGTTATATGAAACTGTCTTCTGGTTTGTCGTCTCTGAATGCCACACATTAAAACAGGCCTTCAGACAGAGCACTCTGGTTCCATATGATCTTTATTATTCTTTTCCATGCATTGGTACATTCTCCATATGGTTCCAGCACACAAACTGGTGAACGAACACGCATAACAATATTTTCTTTCAGAATCACCCTGTACATTTTCATCCCCTAAACTAACACCTGCATCAAATTAGATCTGCTCATTAGTCTGCATCTAAAAAGGAGTGACCTTAGAGAGCTGTTGCACCAAGTGGACTGACATCAATCATGGCTCCAACACCAGAGATGTCAGTTGAAACAGAGAGGATTATCAAACTCTAAAAAGAGGGTAAATCATCACACAATGTTGCAAAAGATGCTGGTTGTTCACAGTCAATGTCAAATTTATTTGTATAGCACATTAACAGTAAAAGCTGACCAAAGTGTTTCACAGTTCAGTCAAGACATCAAAAAACAAACTAATAGATGCAAATACAGAAACACAATATAAGAAAAATGCTCTAAATGAACCTCCAAATCTTAAACATGAGCCAAAGAAAATAAATGGGTCTTCAGCAAAGATTTCTGCTGACTGAATATTAAGAGGTAAACTGTTCCACAGCTTTGGAGCAGCTATTGTAAAGGCCCGGTCACCTCTGGATTTCAGTCTGGATCTAGGAACATCTAACTGGTTGGTAGACCTGAGAGCTCTGACTGGAGTGTAGATGTTAAGAAGATCACATAAATATGACGGGGCCAGGCCATTAAAAACTAAAAGCCATCAATAAAATCTTAAAATCAATTCTCAGGTGAACAGGAAGCCAGTGGAGAGAAGCCAGGACCGGGGTTATGTGTTCATGCTTTTTAGTTCCTGTTAAAAGATGAATTGCTGCGTTCTGGACAGTCTGTAGGCCAGGGGTGCCCAACCAGTCGCTCGTGGGCAACTGGTCGCCCACCAGCTGATTCCCAGGTGCCCGCGAAGCAGCCTGATGTCAGCTGTTAGAGCAAGGTTGCGCTCAGGCCGGGAGCTCGCTGAGCTTCATTCTAACTCCAGCAGAAGCGGTGGAGGTGGGAGGAGGAGAGCAGAGGGAGTATGGGAATGTAAACTCCTCCCGCCTCCCACCTCCACCACTTCTGCCGGAGTTAAAATGAAGCTCAGAGGAAGGTAGTCTCGTGAGTTTTGGGTGCTGTGAGACAGCGCTCCGAACATGATCTTGCGAGACTTTAGGGTCACGTGTTTAAAACATGATCCTGTGAGACTTTAGGGTCACGTGTTTAAAACATGATCTTGAGGCGGAAAATAATGAACAAAAATGAGCTAAAAAGCAAACAAAAACGTATTATTTTCACCTGGAGTGGGAAAAGGACTCAGGTAATTTGAGCACTGCCTTGTCCAAAAAGGATTACGTGGAACGGCATTTTAAAACAAGGCACAAACGTGGATTTCCTCCTAAAACCGCACAGCATCGATTTTCCACACCAGAGGTGAGGCTAATGTAGCTCACTCATCCTGCCACAACACAAAAAAGGTCTTTCAGCGATGACCAAGTTTTATGAAAGAAGTGTTTGGTGCTGCAGACATGCTTTTCCGTGATTTTAAAATTAAAAGTGAGATTGTGGCAGCTATAAACAGGCACAATTGTCCAGGATGGTTGACATTGTGCCCAAATTCATGTCCGTGTTTCAGCTGGACTGCTGTGGTGTTGAAAATGAGGTTTTGACTCTGCAAAATGACATTGGGATCAAATCCTGAACAACAAGTGGCATGGATGGAGAGTTCTGGAGTCTGCTGTCAGAGGAAACGTATCCCACCATCAGATGAGGTGCTTTGAACTTGACAGAACTTTTTGGATCTACCTGTGTGAGTCTGCTTTCTCTCACATGAAAATCATCAAGTCCAAGAACAGATTCATAATAACTGATGATCATCTGGAGACCTGCCTGTGCCTCAAACACCTCATACTGCCTGCCCTGGTTCCTCCTCGCAGTGTCAGAAGTCCCAATAAGGTAGAGACATTTATTTTTATATAGCCTGCATAAAAAGTTTTCTCCTCTAGATTTGTCACATTGTGTCTGTATGTTGTTTTTTATATTTTTATGTTATTGGTTTTATTACATTTTAGACCAGACTGACTGGCAGCTTTGTGTTTATTTATTTATTTATTTATTTATTTGTTTGTTTGTTTATTTTTCAGTTTGGGTGT